TCTTGAAGTCTCTGTCATCCACTCCACACCCTTTAGTGGAACATAGAGGATTTTACCTGCTTTTGCTTTGACAGTTGGGCCCACTCATTCTCATATTTATGGTGAAGATGTATCCCTGAGGGACTGAGAGCAGAAAGAGGAGGCTGGGGTCTGCAATCCAAGTGGGGGAATTTTAACTGAGGCTCTGCTGTGCAGAGGAGGTTGTTGGGCCTGGTAGAGAATGGCACGTGACCACACGTGGCAAGAGTATCCATGGCAGCATCTATTTATACTTTGGTCCTTACTGCTGAGTGTAACTGGGAGTAATGGACAATGGCCTCCTCCTGTCTCCTAAGGCCGTGCTCCAGGAAGGCTGCCTTTACCTTTATGGGATTATGTTTTGAAACCTTGATGACTCTACCACCAAAACATTTTTCTGCTATAATATAGATATGTTATTAGTAATAAAATATAGAATAGTATATATTTAAATCAATGATTATATCTTTTATATGTATTTAATGTAGATACATTACTTTTGCAAAAGCATGTATAGAAAGAGAGTGATAAAAATATTATTTGCAGGTCACAATCATATCTCTTACACAGTCAAAATTATGAAAGAAAATTAGTTTCAATAAAAGGCATCCTTTGTGTAATAAAACCTAGGTGTATTTGAGGTGGATCTCATTCCCTTGAACTTCATTCCTTAAAAGGTAAGTTCACTCATTTGGGGTTTGGTATACAACTAGGGATTTGAGGATTTCTGGATGGTGTGGAGCCTGGGATCTCTTATTGTGCTCTTCCACACCAAGGGAAGATAGGAGACTCTCAGTATTCACTGTGAAGAAGAATCACCCAAGGACTTGAAATTCCTCTCTCCAAGTCTAACACTCACTCAACAGGTAAAGTTGGAGTTCCAGGAGTGTGTGGTTTTGATGACTGTTTGGCATGGTTCTGACACAGGTGGCCAAGCTCTGCCACACTATAAGTTATAGACTGAGGGCCGCTGCATGAAAGAGAAGGAGAGAGAGAGAGAGAGAGAGAGAGAGAGAGAGAGAGAGAGAGACAGAGAGAGACAGAGAGAGAGACAGAGAGAGAGAGACAGAGAGAGAGAGACAGAGAGAGAATTTTGGCTAGAACCTCAGTGCATATAATCAATGCACTCACTTTGGATGACTGGAAGACCCTTCTGTGTCAGTGCTACAAAGTATAAACAATACTTAACATGAGTTGGTGCTTTGAATTCTCATGCAAGGAAAGTGAATAGTTTTTACCAAAGGAAAAAAAATAGCAGAATAAGAACTTAGCATAGATATGTGAATATGTCCATATACACCTGTGTATATCTGGTATTTTCCTCTCCCCTCTGGTTCAAGAGCAGTCTGTAATTGCATTTTTTTTCCAGCTGAGCTTCTGAAACGTTTCTCAGACTTAGACTTAGATTTACTGTAGTTTTTACTTCCTGTTTGGCAGCACCTCAACTTGATGCTTCCTCTTTTTGTCTTTAGCTCTTAAGTACTGACTAATAGGACCACCCTCCTGATGAGCCAATTCTGGTGCAATCTCCAAGGGACATGAACAAATCAGGGTGGGTGCTTTAATTAACAGAACTTTTCTTCTCTTTAGTCTGACTGGTGTTGAACTACTGCTAGAAGACAAATATGCTTGAGTTGAAGAAAAGCCCCCAGCTGGTTTTCTTTAGTAAGTGTTGCAAATCAGAAGTTTTCTAAAGGGTTAGTATTGGCTTTGTTCTCAGAAACTTTCTAGCCTGGTCACCTGTCCAAACATAACTTTGATTTCATTGTATCAGTGAAAATGTAGCTCTTCCAAGTAGCTCTTAAAGAACAGCAACAGGTAAGGGAGAGGATTTACTTCATTGGAGTTCTCCTAAATGAATAATTTTAATAAATAATAATAATAATAATAATGATAATAAATTTTTGAGAAGGGAGAGAGAGAATAATGTGAATTTTCTAGCATTTCTTACAATTCAATAATTGACATGGTTATTACACAAGCATTATATATTTGGAAATAATTGCGTTATCTAGATAATGAATATATTAATGCAGCAATTAAACACATGCACAATTTTAAAACAGCTCATAAAATATCACAGTGTGTCCTCATCGACCTTCTTCACTGGACTTGGCACTGCGCAACTTCTGCCTCTTCCCCAAATCAAAAGTTATCATGAAAGGTAAATAGTTTGCGTAGACTCAGGACATTGAATCAGCCACGACAATGCAACTAATGATACCCACAAAAGATTTCCAGATCTTTTTTGGAAAGTGGCAATAACAAGAGTGTTAGAAATTGCTGTCTCAGTGTGCCCTGGGGTTGAGACCAGCATGGCAGGCCCGGTATTGAACCCCCGGCTCCTGTGCCTGCTTGCAGGTAGTTTAATCTGCTGAACTATTTGGCTGGCCCAATAGTAAGATTGTAATCCACAAATGTTGTAAAAGTGAGGTCTCACTAGATACAATGTAGGATGTAAGTTACTAGCCTGGACATTAATATGCCTGAGGGGAGAGATTCTAGGATATCACTTTTGTGAGAGTCTAAGAACATTTGCTTTTCTGACATTTTTAAACCATAAAAATGAGTGATTCCTCCTTGTTCCCATGCAACCTGGCTCTACAACACCAAGGAGTGTTTCTATCTGAGTATTTGGAAATGATAGCAACTGGAAGTTCACGTAGCTTTGTTGGGTTCTTCTGCAGTT